TGAGGAGATGGGATATTGTGAACTTTTAGGTTTCTTCTGTTGTATGAGTTAGTGACACACATTAAGTTCACAGCAACGTAACTATTAATACTAAGATTTATGTTCTGCTGATAAGGTCCTCAGCATATCTTAGTTTTACATGTTCAGGCATCAGTTTTAACCTTTCCTAATGGTGATTGTTCTGTTATTTATTAATCTGGTTGTAGCATTGGGTATAGTTCAACTGTTTGAAGGAGCAGTTATCTTTTTGCCCTGACTTCAGCCAGCTATATAAGGCATCAACAATGGCTCACAGAGGAAATTGAGTCAAGGTGGAAGCAACTTAATGGGAGGCCATCCACCTTTTAACAGCATATTCTGTTCATAATTCTAAGAAGAGCTCACATTTATAAAATATCATAAACTTTATAGAGTGACATCACATACAATATTTATTTTATTTAATTTTTAAAGTGGGCAAGGCAGAGATCATTTCTCTATTTTACAGTGAAGATCATACAGCTAGCAAAATAGCAGAGCCCAAAATAAATCCAGCTATCTAGATTTTCTAACTGCAAGTACCACTCAGAGACCAGTTTCAACATCTTCATTATTGAAAGAGCACCATATGTAAAAGATGTCATATATGAAGATAGTTTCATATATGGTGATATTCATATTTACTACGGAACATGACTGAGCAGTTGGTTTTACTTTAAATACAGTAGACACTAAAAGTATTTAACAAAAGTAAATATTTGTTGAATAAAATCAACCACCACTATAATTCTAAGATTCAGTAAAAATTTGTATACTTACTCTGTGCCACATGATACAAATACAAATAAATCACTATCCATTTTCACAAGAAATTTATACTCCAGCAAAGTATTAGTTTGTAAATCTGATACCTGCCTTATTGCCAGGTTCTGGACAGGCTAGAATCAAGTGGGAAAGACATCGGGATCTGAAGTGGTGGTACATATTATAGAATAGCTTTTAGAGCATTTAAGGGACAATGTCTTAGTATGTAATTGTGTGTGTGTTTAAAATTGTACTAGATAAAGTTTTCTTAATAGAATTAGTGTTAGTGATGCCATAAAATATGCAATACTCTGTATTCATGTAGTTCTTTTAAACATTTTTAATGCTTTTCCATGCATAATTTTTTAGTAATAATGTATAATTGTTAACTTTTTGTTTTTAGAGCATCGTAGGATCAAGTCCTGTTGCAGATTTCTCTGCTATTAAGGAGCTAGATACCCTTAACAATGAAATAGTTGACCTACAGAGGTATGTAAAGTAAAATTATAGCTGACTGTATAAATACACCACATTCATTCCCCACCTCCCCCTCCTTCCCAACCCTGTCTTGGTAAGTACTACTTTATTTGGTTAAGTTCCATGGTTTTTCAATTGGAAATGAGTGTACCGTATTTCATCAAATCTAAGGCAACCTTTAATTGCAGGGTGCACTATTTTCTTATGTACCACTAAAGAAAGAAAAATCGCTGCCAAATAAACAATGGCTTGTCATCAACTATAAGATACTATTTAATTTCAGACAGTGAAAAATGTGTATCTTAGAATAAATGAAATGTAGTTTTCCACTAACTTCAGATATTTGAATGACGTTTCAGGGAAACATTGTCATTGAAGAGCATTCTGTTGAGGAAGTTAATTATAAGAATTGCTTACATTTTGTGGAAGGACTATGAAATGCAGAAGCCATGCCAAGAGCTTTTATAGCTGTTCTCTCATTTGATCCTCACAAAAACTTTGTGACTTGAGATAGATGTTATTGTTCCTGTTTTATAGGTAAGAAGTTTTATAGGTAAGAAGCTCAGAGAGGTTCTTATGCCCAAAGCCATACAACTTGTCAACAGTAGAACTAATACCTGATCGCAGGACTACCTGAATTGGAGTTGAGTCTTCTCTCTTATACGTAGGTTCTATGCAGAACAGACTTGTATACAATTAGATGTGAATCTAAATACAGCAGGTACTATAGAGATTTCCTTAATTTCCTTTTTCCCTGGAAACTTGATGGTAATACTCATTGTAAAAATGACCTCCTAAAATTACTTTTTAAAAGTGAGATCATTTTTCTGTCTACAAGGCATTGTATTTAAATATATCACTGTATTTACACAAACCCTTTTTTTTTTTACCTTTACAATACTTTGAGGCAGATAATGGCTGATACTTTATTTTGTTGATGGTATTGAGACATAAGGGGATTAAATAATTTATTTGGACGATATGGTAAGAATTTAGCAATGATCTTTCCTCATCCATAAGACTACACTGAAACTGATGTAGAGAAACTTAGGATTGTTTTCAGTTGTAAGAAAGAACTCAACCCAGGCTAATGTAAGTGAGAGTGAATTTATCGACTTGTGAAAACTAAGATCTCTTAGAGGGAAGGTTGGCTTAAGGCATAGTAGCTTCAGACAGGGGCTCAAATAATATAATCTTACTTTTTCCATTCCTTGTTTCCACTTGCACTGGGTTGTTCCAGTCTCAGATGGACTTTCCCGTTACGTTGTCAAGGAGTATAGCACACCTAGCCCCCTGTACTTATAATTTCAGATCTNCTCATGTGGGATCCGAACCGGGGCCCTGCTGCTCAGAGCTGGCATCCCAAGCCAACTCTTAACCAACGCGCCACTCGGCCGTCAACTGATCATTTTTAAAAAGCTACATAGTCATATTACTTATCCCCTGGATTTTTAAAATGGTAGTTGTGGCATTTTATATACTGTTCATTTTGTTTATTTGTACAGGGCATTATGTGACACAAAGGACTGTGGGAAGCTTTCAAAGGATCAGTTTGCCTTGGCTTTTCACTTAATCAATCAAAAGTTAACAAAGGGCATTGACCCTCCTCACAGTCTTACTCCTGAGATGATTCCACCATCGGACAGGGCCAGTTTACAAAAGGTAAGACAACTTAAGAGAAAACCTGAATATATTAACAGAAAGGAACAAGTGCTATAACAGATGATAGATCGATTTGGACAGAAAGAATAGAGAAGAAAATCTATCAGGCTAGGAGCAGAGCAGTATACTGTCTGTGGTTTAGTTTGTTGACTATAAATATGCTTGAATGCCTTGTGTGACATCCTTGGACTGCAGGTCATTTACCCCATCATTCATTACACAGATGGCAGCTATATTTTCCAATCTCAAAATTGGAAAAATGTGCTGTTGTTTTTCCCCTTCTGGATTTTTGGATTAATTTTCATGAATAGGGTATAAAATGTAAATGAAATCTGTAAGAATTAAATGTGTTTCATTTCATGATTCACTCTTACAGAAAACAATACAAATTTGAAAGCAGTATCTAGGAGATGATGATTGCTTGGTATCAATTTTAAACTAAAAAATACAAACATTATGATTATGTTGAGGAGAAATCTGTCTGGTTTTTACCATATAGGTGACCCTCCGTTCTTGAGCATACGGCCGAATTTCATACCTGTAGAGCTAGAAACGGATTTTATTACTTTTGATTTCTGGCCAGCAGTGGGAATTTTCAAGACTATGTTGTTTAGCCATGTTGTGCCTTGACTTTGCTTTCCTCATCTAGAAACCCTTCCTTCTATATAGTGCATTTACAATATCTCGGCCTTAATAGAGCTTTAAAAGGACTTGCGTACTCTTTGCTATTAAAAATACATGCTCTGTATCTTTAAATCTCTTGTGACCTATACAGTAACTATTGCTGTGGTGATTCGTTAGACTTAATATGTAATAGGAGTTGTCAAATGTGTGGTATGAGGAAAAGTGCTCTTTAAAATGCTAAAAGAATATTTGGTTTTGCATTAATTTTGTCATGTAGGTTCAAAAATCCCATTTTAACAAATCAAATAATAGTCAAAATTGGATCTTTTCTAAGTCAATTAAATAGAAATTTATAGCCACCCGGTACAGAGTTACTTATAAGAGTTTTTATCCTGATTTTTAAATAAAAGAAGTATTTGATTATTTGCTTTGTGAGTTTTTTGAGGGAAGCATTTTGTGAATTTTTTGAGATTTCTTGTGATGTAGGACATGGATTCCCTAAGTAGTAGAGAAGGCTAAAGGTGATGCTACCCAGAAAGATAAAGGTTACGAATCTGTATGTATGCCCTCTGCGATAACTCTATCTCAGTTATGGAATGCTGTGTTGTTTCAACCTTTTTTTTAATCTATGTAGACTGTTTTTTTTCCCCTTACTACCTTCATTTTATGCCCATTTAATTTCCCAAATTACAGATAGGACAAAACTTTCTGAAGCAGATTATGTTTGTTCATTGATGTCTCTATGACATTAATAGACACTTGAAGTTGTATCTGCTCTACAGAGTTTTTAATGTAATAGATTTGTCTAAAGTCCATTCACTTGAGCACAGACACCTTTGTCTATTTTTGTTGCATATCAGTACTAGTCATTAAAATGGGATTTTATCACTGTTGTCGTAATCTATTAACCAAAAATTTTAACCTTAAAAATTAAAATTAGCCTTTGTTTTATCTTTCAAATAATCTTTTCTCTTAATAATCTAATTCTTTTTTTTTTAGAACTGCATTTTTTTTTGCAGCTTTGACTAATCCTTTTTTGAATGTTGCTTTCCTTTCTGTGTTTTTTCTAGTTTGGACTATTTTTTCCATTCTGCAGCCCTCTGCTTTTCGCCTTTCTTGTACTGTCAGTTTCTTAACTCTACTCTCTCAAGGTTAGAGCTTTACATTATGCCTTTTTAGCTTTACAGTTTTTGGTTTACAAAATACATTTTGAAATTAGAGGGTTTTTATGCAGCAAGGTTGATGCAGAGAAAAATTCCTAAACAGAATGATTTTGTCTGTCACTTGGTCCTTGTGGTGCATTTTAAATTGCCTTCCCTAGGCTCTCTGATCTACTTAAAATCACCAAAGTGGAATTTTTGTGTAAGGCGCAAAACAGGGTGAGAGAATATTTTGAAAGAAGGAGACATGCTACATTTTCTTCAGATGCCCTTCTTATACTTGATGTAGTGTTAGCTGAACTTTTTCCATGCTTCCTGATTGCATGTCATTTATTGCTTTAGTATGGCAGTTTAATTTTTGTGTCAGTAATTGAGGAGTGACGCAAGCTGTATACCAATTGCAGTACACTAATTTTCCTTCTGGAGTCATCTATGGTATCACCTTATAACTTGTTTTAGATGAAACTTTTTTGTCCCACTCTTCTTATTTGATGATACTTTTAATAGTGAGTGACTGTCAAATAGGAGTCACCGTTTTTGAATTACAGTGTCAGAAGTGTGGAAGTCACCAGTTTCTTGGTGTGCTTGCACCTTTGATAGCAAATTTCTCAGTAGCGCTTAGGTGATACAAGTTACTCTTGGTGATAGAAGTGAGACCAAGTGCTAATTTTTCATTTTGTTCACCTGTCAAACTGGCCAGGCTTAATTTATAAGTCAAGTTTAGACAGAGTTAAGATGCTAGTGAATTCTTATCGTGTTCAGAAATCCACTTTAAGGAGCATTTGAGATCTTGCTTCCCTGCATTGTCATCACTTTTGGCTCAGATAAATTCTTATAATAATTTTAAACAAAAAGAAATCCACTTTAAAATTTCTAACTTAATTTAGGATGATAAGGGTCTGTATCATTGAAGCATAGTAAAATAGAGGTATATTTGATACAGATCTTTAATTAATATAAAATTGGGAATAGCATTAGTTGAGAATAGATGAGTTTTGGTATTGATCAATTGAACAAAAAAAAACAAAGCATGAGGACTAATGCAGTGTAACATAAAGAAATATAGACGGAATTATTTGCCAAATTTTGTTACTGTACCTATTTATTTAGTTGACTTTTAGGGTAATGGTTTCATTTACATAAATGATCTTGATATGCAAGTGCCAAAAAGCATGGAGTGAAATAGCACTTGATTTTAATCAGAAATCTCCTGATCAAACTACCTATTAGCTGGTACCTGTTGTTACCTATAAACAAGTCACTAAATCTGTTTCCTTAGCTCTAAAATGGGGTTAGTAATATCTGCCCTTCCTACAACCCAGTTTTCAGATTAGTTTTTAGAATTGACTAATGGATTTGAAAGTGCTTAGTAAATTGTAAACCATCATAAATATGAGGAGATGGGATATTGTGAACTTTTAGGTTTCTTCTGTTGTATGAGTTAGTGACACACATTAAGTTCACAGCAACGTAACTATTAATACTAAGATTTATGTTCTGCTGATAAGATCCTCAGCATATCTTAGTTTTACATGTTCAGGCATCAGTTTTAACCTTTCCTAATGGTGATTGTTCTGTTATTTATTAATCTGGTTGTAGCATTGGGTATAGTTCAACTGTTTGAAGGAGCAGTTATCTTTTTGCCCTGACTTCAGCCAGCTATATAAGGCATCAACAATGGCTCACAGAGGAAATTGAGTCAAGGTGGAAGCAACTTAATGGGAGGCCATCCACCTTTTAACAGCATATTCTGTTCATAATTCTAAGAAGAGCTCACATTTATAAAATATCATAAACTTTATAGAGTGACATCACATACAATATTTATTTTATTTAATTTTTAAAGTGGGCAAGGCAGAGATCATTTCTCTATTTTACAGTGAAGATCATACAGCTAGCAAAATAGCAGAGCCCAAAATAAATCCAGCTATCTAGATTTTCTAACTGCAAGTACCACTCAGAGACCAGTTTCAACATCTTCATTATTGAAAGAGCACCATATGTAAAAGATGTCATATATGAAGATAGTTTCATATATGGTGATATTCATATTTACTACGGAACATGACTGAGCAGTTGGTTTTACTTTAAATACAGTAGACACTAAAAGTATTTAACAAAAGTAAATATTTGTTGAATAAAATCAACCACCACTATAATTCTAAGATTCAGTAAAAATTTGTATACTTACTCTGTGCCACATGATACAAATACAAATAAATCACTATCCATTTTCACAAGAAATTTATACTCCAGCAAAGTATTAGTTTGTAAATCTGATACCTGCCTTATTGCCAGGTTCTGGACAGGCTAGAATCAAGTGGGAAAGACATCGNACTAACATGGGCCAGTGAAGCAACATCCTCCACAACTAGACTGAAGAACAAAAGGACAGCAACTTGTCTGTTCCCCTTCCCTGATTTCCCAGCACTGTTCCCCTCCCCCAATTCCCCAATAAAATCTTTAAAAAAAAAAAGACAAACCTTAGTGTTTCTAGTGAATTTCACATTAAATGAGATAATGTATGTGAAAATGCTTTAAAGTGTGCCTGCTGCCAATCCATGTGACTATACCAGAGGTTATCTTAAGGTTTTCAAGGGGCAGCAAAAATTAGAAGTGGAACCACGGAGTTGCAAAGAGAAACTTAGAAAAGAACAAAGGAGAACAGTAGATCTGCCTTAAAAGGAACAAGAACCCAAGACTGGGAAAGATTATATGTATGACTAATAATAGCTGCCACTCTTGAGTGCTTAGGCCAGGCACTATGCTCAATAAATGGCAGCTGTCATGGACATGGTATTATGCACAGCCTTTTTACGTACTTTGTCTTTAACTTTCACAGTAACCTTGCAAGATGGGTGTTATCTCCACTTTATAGATAAAGAAACTAAGGCTTGGAGAGTTTTAAAATTTGACTGAGAGCATAAGAATAAATAGAAAAGCTGGAATTCAAGATTTCTTTGACACCATAACCTGTAGTCTTTTCACCTGACCATGTTGGCTTTCAATGAATGAAATAGATCAGGACTTCAGAAGCTAAACTGAAAAAGAAAAAGAAAATAGAATAAAACATTTGCTGTTTCTCTTCAAGTGATTTAGTAAAGCTTTCCAGATTGGCTGCCTTTTCTTTGCATGTGATCTCCATTTGCAGCTGTTTCTGGTTTGACTTGGCGATCCTTATATCCTCCTACTCTATGAATTGCAGGAAGCAAGCTG